AGATAAACATTTTCATAAAGCAATAAAACATTTAAGAAAAAAAAAAAAAAAAGATTAGGCAAGTCAAAAAAGACCTCACAGAAAAGGAGACATTTGAAAAAGTCATCTGAAGGAGGTAAGATAGCGAGGTTTAGATAGCCAGAGGACACGTGCTCTAGGTGAGAGTGAGCCTGGAATGTCTGAGAAGCAGCAAGGAGGTCACTTGGCCTGGAGCTAAATGATGGTCATGGAGAATCATAGTAACCGGAAGGGCTGAGTCAGATGGAGTTAGGCATTTTAACCCATAATCCATTACAAGTGCTTTACCATTTACTCAGAGTATGACAGGGAACAATGGAATTATTTGAGCAGAGACGTTACATGATCCAATATCAACCTTGATTTCATACAACCACGTTGGGAGTTGATTTGGGAAAGTATGAAATCAAGGAGACCATAAAAGAAGCTATTGTGATCATCTAGATTATAATGGGGATAACTTCTGACCTCCTCTGACTTCACAAGTGGAAAGAGAAGCAAACTCATCAGCCCCAGGCCAATTATGAATCAGAGGTCAGACATGAATCCTCTTTCCTCCTTTACCAACTCTGACACCAACCCGCAGCACTTTCTACTTCCTTGCTGGGTTCAATAATCTGTTGCAATGTCCACACAGAACTCACAGGAAATATTTACAATTATGGGTTTTATTAGGAAAGTTAAGAGGTTACAAGGCAAGATTAGAAATGCTCAGGATACAGTTCATCCAGTCAGGAGGGCCCCTTCTCAGCCAAGCCCACAGGCACACTATCTGCTCTTCAGTCTTCCAGCCATGTAGCCCCGTGGCCTGTGTCTTGCTCAAGCAAGTGTGACAAAAATCCTTTAGCACTGCTGACAAATGACCAAAGGACAGTCCACTCTGTGTCAGTCTCCTACCTGAAGGCACTCAGCTTTACTCCCTCCATGGGTCAGGAAGCCTGTCGCTCTGTCTCGTGCTCTGGCTCTCGGTTCTGTTGATGCCACCCCTCTTCCACTCCCAAACTCAAGGAAAATTTAAAAGGATAGAAATGTTCGATGTTAAAAACAACTGTATGGCAACAAAATGCATAACCAGGATGTCAAAACTGTCATTTTGACGTGGTGTAGGATTAACACTGGACTGCAAACCAAAGGGTCCATGGTTCGAGCCCACCAGACACTCACGGAAGAAGGTTGAGACTTTTTGCTCCCACAAGGATTTGGAGTCCTGGTGTGATGTGGTGGGTTAATGTGCTGGACTGCAAAGTGGGTTTGAACCTCAAGGTTGGTGGTTCAAGCTCATCAGTCACTTCTTAGAAACCCTATACAGGGTCGCTGACTCGGAACCGACTCAATGACTTGTCATAACAACAACAAATCAAATTCTTCAGGGAAGGATTAGAGAGATGGTAGCACTGCTTTCAGAAGAATGTAGACCTAGATAGAGGCTATGTCCGTAAACAATAGCAACACAGTTTGATAGTTTTGTCCCTATAATTTTTATAGCAAAACCTTTTGAGTAACCCTTATATATTGCCCATTATTTTTGCACATAATTCAATTTAAGGGAAAAGAAGTTAGTGGTTAGAAGCCAAAAAGGAAACCTGATAGCACAGTGGTTAAAGTGCTCCGCTGCCGACTGAAAGGTCGGTTTTTCAAACCTACTAGTTGCTTCACTGGAAAACTATGCGGCAGTCTGCTTTCATTAACATTACAACCTAGGAAACCCTATGGGGCAGTTCTAATCCTCTTATATGGTCACTGTGAGTTGGAATCTACTTAAAGGCAAGGAGTTCATTTGTTTTTTTGGTTTTTATTTAGCTTGAAACCAGACAACAACAACAGAAATAAAAGCTTAGAACTACACTGAGAAACTTCGCTAATGAAGTCCTATGCATGGCTAGTAAATAAAGGAGTTGTGACCAGCAATATCATAGAGATTTGTT